ACACCTATTTTATACTATATACTTTTAGCTTCAAGTAGCATATTCAATATTTAATCAGTGTTTCGTAGTTTTTGAGAAATTTAATAAAATATGAAATTACTCCAACAACAAGTGGGTATAATAATAATTTTTAATTAAACGGATGGAAAACAAAGCTTGTTTACGTGCATTCGAACGAAACTAATGTAATTGATCTACATAACTATATAGTTATACAGAGATATGAGTGGATATGTTGAGGAGGAACGGTATTTAATTAAAGCATCGAAATTAATAACGCGCTTCACCTTTCGCAATTCGGATTAGGCAAAAGGCGATAGCAATTAAGGCCCTTCGGATCTGGCGACTCCCACGGTCGGATTTAATTTCCGGCTATGCGCGTGTATTCGCCGCATTAATTTTATTTATTCATATTGTTGGATTTCGTTTTGCAAAACACTCCTCAAATTACTCTGCTTTTACAAAATAGAAGTATTTTTTATTTTCATTTTTCAATATGTAGTTTTAGCTATAAACAGATTCTTCAGTCTTTATTCTAACAGTCATATTGAATCAATATATTTTTAGCTTTAAATATAATATTGAATCATTAATCTGCCGTTTGTAGTTTAAGAGAAATTTACAAAAATGTTAAGACACTTTTTTCTTCTAAATGTAAATAATTGTATACCTAATGTTTAGAAGCACATTACGCGAAAACCAATAGAGATGGAATTAATGTTTTAGACTCATTTTAAACCTTATAATTATGACATTAAATAAAGCATTTAATATTTGATATGTCGTTTGTACTTTTTGAGAAATTCAATAAAACGTCAAGACATTGTCTTATTTTTTTGTTAAGTTAATCAGCGTAAAAGTCATTAGACAAATAGTATGTCTTTTATACTCATTTTAAACCCTATTATCTTGGGTTTACAAATCAAAAATAAAATTGTTGTTTTTTTCATTGGATTATGATGAAAATTGTGTATTTAGTATAGATGCTAACCTTGTCCATGAGTTGTCTGACGATACCGTTCCATTCGCCGGTTTCTAAGTCGATTGCACCGTATTTACCATCGGGGACCAGGTCTATGCGATACTCGAAGCCTACCATTGAAGCAATCTCTTCCAGCAAGTCAATGCAGAAACCCTCGTACCGAGCGTTTCCTACCAGGTTGGACTGTCCTCTCATCATTACGTAAGGTTGCTCCTAACGAACAAAACATACCGTTACAACTGGCCTAATTATGAACTACAATTATTTATTTTGATTTTACCTCATATCTCTAACTACAAAAACAAACTAAACAAAGTATACGTGATTTCATGCTTATCTAAGAGACGACTACTAATAAACTACATTTTTGGAATAGCACGAACATCACCATCATGTTTTCTTTCTCTCATATTTCATCAGCATATTGCGCAAAAACCAATATAGATAGAATTAATCTTTTACATCTGTATTAAAACCTATAGTTTTAGCTTCAAATAGAGTGTTCAAACTTTAATATACCATTCGTAGTTTATGAGAAATACATTAAAATATAAAGACATTTTAAGCCATAGAAATTTAATATTATATAAATATTGCTTTATTATTAATTCGATCATTACGGAAAAACTAATTGAGATAGAATCGATCTGTTACGTTTATTTAAAACCTTAAAGTTTTAGCTTTAAACAGCATTTTATTTCTGTAATCTCCCTTTCGCAGTCACTGAGAAATTCAATTAAATTCTAAGAAAGGCATAAAAAAATGTCCATTTTTATTAACACATTATGGGTATTTAAATGAAAGCATTATTAATCTTTTATAATCGTTTTAATGTCTTCAATATTTTAGCTTTAAAATGTATATTTAATCTTTATATTGATAGGTTAAGAAAAATTCATAAAAATGTTAAGACACAACTTTCTTTAGGCTTATAGAAATATTGTTGAGAGTTTAGCATCAAATTACACACAAACCAATGAATGCATAATATATATATTTTATTTTAATTTAAAATCTTTAAGTAAAATATTGAGAAATTAACTAAAATGTAACAAACGTAGATTTAAAGTTTAATAGCTTATTACGCAATAACTATTATAGATAGAAATAATGTTTTAGATTTATTTTAAAGCTTGGAGTTTTAGCTTCAAATAGAATTTTGAATCATTAAATTATGATCAGTAGTTTAATAAAAATTTAATTTAATTAGTGTATGTAGTTGTTAATGAAGTAATATTGTTGTGAGGGAATTAATCGTTTTCTGGAATGTTGCTGATGAATGTGTTTAGAAGTGTCTGCGGCATTCGAGCGGTGGCAGTTCGCAATTCAATTATGTTAAGTGCTCGAAGCAGTTGTCAATAAATAATCCCCGGGGAGGCTGCAGAGGAAACGTGAAATAGTTTAGATGATTATGCATCGTAATACTACGTAATAGTAATAATAATATCTAGGCTCTAGAGGTGCAAATACAGTTATGATGTTGATGTTGATGATGATGATATACTATATAGTTTTTACTAGTCTACATACATGCGACATGAGTTGTTGCACCATGCCATTCCATTCTCCTGTGTCGGGATCCAACGCACCGTATTTATGATCCGGCACCAATTCGAGGAGATAATCGAAGCCGACCTCCCTCGAGATACTCTCTAAGATATCCACGCAAAACCCATAAAATCTACTATTGCCAGTAAAATTCTTGCCAAGATGCATCATAACATAAGGCGTCTCCTTAAAGAAACACGTTTTTTTTTGCTTTCTCTTCCTGCTACATAAATACTTTCTGGTTTCTTTTTTTTTTTGAGAATACATGCGGGAATCTCGGGAACGGTTCCTGTACACTCACCAGTATCGTGATAACCACCAATGTGACGTTCATCGTGCCCGGATCGAAGAACGCCGCCCTATCGGTGATGTTAACGCCTGCACCGGGATTCCACTCTCCGACTTTCACGAGCGCGTGCTGCTTCAGCTTCAGCAGATCCAACTTGAAGCGAATCCTTCGGCCCTCCTTGAACTCGATCGGACCACTCAGACCTTTGAACTCAACCTGAAAAATACACAAAATTTTACAAAACATCAATCGATAATAGTGATCCTTCTACTAAACGGATTAAGTGAAAATTGCATTTCAGAAGAGCACTGTAAAATATTTCGCTTTACGAGCGAAATAAATCCCATTTCCGAGTTCAATTGTGTCTGAATATTACTACTTTTACTTTGATTTAATATGAATTTTAGTTGAAAGTTTAGTTGAAATAGAAACTGTTAATCCCAAATATTTGAATTTAAACTAATAGGCAAAATAAAAAACTTTGAAGAAATAATAAAGATTTTAATTGTAACCAAAGTTAGGAAATGTTTTGAAAATCTAACCATTTATTTCAAGACTTAAAAAAACTGAAAAAGTAGTGTAAATTAGTTAAATGTAAGCTTAAACATTCAATTAGTTTCAAAATTTAAACTCAACCTGAAAAATACACAAAATTTTACAAAACATCAATCGATAATAATAATCCTTCTACTAAACGGATTAAATGAAAATTGCATTTCAGAAGAACACTGTAAAATATTCCTAAAATATTTCGCTTTACGAGCGAAATAAATCCCATTTTCGAGTTCAATTGTAAATATTACTACTTTTATTAGATTAACTTTGATTTAATATGAATTTTAGTTGAAAGTTTAGTTGAAATAGAAACTGTTAATCCCNNAAAGTAGTGTAAATTGGTCAAATGTAAGCTTAAACATTCAATTAGTTTCAAAATTTAAACTCAACCTGAAAAATACACAAAATTTGACAAAACATCAATCGATAATAATAATCCTTCTACTAAGCGGATTAAGTGAAAATTGCATTTCAGAAGAGCACTGTAAAATATTCCTAAAATATTTTGCTTTACGAGCGAAATAAATCCCATTTCCGAGTTCAATTGTGCAGAAACGTTTCATTCTGTCCATGTCTCGTTTCTTTCTTGCCCTTTTTTTTAGGAAAATGTTCCGGGTTTACGGTAAATCAAATCGAAAATGTGGGCATAGGCATATAATACGATGAAACGCATGTTCAAAATAGGTGCACGGGGGTCAAAGGTCGAACAACATCTGAATGCCTACACAAGCATTCTTGTATTTTTATGGTCATCTTACGTCGTTTCATAAACTTTTATTGCTTTACGTAAATCGCAATATCCGATGCGATGACATTTATATAGATCACTTTTTAACTAGATTTGCTCCAAATATCTGAAATATACACAAGTTCGAAGAATTTAGCAATTTGTATAATTAAAAACACGGAAATCTTCACATTTTTTAAATCAAAGAATTATATCGTAAAAAAAATATAATACGTAACAAATTTCTTTTAAAACTAATTGCGTTTCTGTGTAGTTTATGGTTTGGTGTGGGAAGAAAATAACTATATACTAAGGACAAAGTAGCGGAGGAAACGAGATTTTCGGAAATTGCGATGGTCTGAAAGCAAAAGAAGACTAGAGACGAGCACTATTTATGGTTGATTAATTAAAATGTACAGCTCGGTGTCTTTGCTTCGTTGATGGGATTGTGTCCGGACTAGAACTGCTTCCTCTCTGGCCATAAATCGCGCGAGGACCAAGAAGCAAGAGCAAATGAACGAATTGAAACCGAAACTGCGAATAGAAAAAAAGTTTGATGTTCATCATGCAATTGCATTTAAATGGGAGAAAGATTCAAATTATTATATTTTATAATAAAAAAGATTTATTAGAATACTCTCATTAGATTTTTTTATATTTAGAATTAATTTAAACTTGAATAAAACAATAAATATTCAAGAAAAACGATTTAAATAATTGATAAATTTAATTAAATTGTTTGATTGTGTAAACATTAATAAATGTTACTACTTTTATTAGAATTACTTTGATTTAAGTTGAAATAGAAAATCTTAATCCAAAATATTTGAATTTAAACTAATAGGCAAAATAAAAAACTTTAAAGAAATAATAAAGTTAGGAAATATTTTCAAAAATAACTTTTTTTTGAATACTTTACTTATATGAAAGTACATTTTTACATATAGTTTTATTTGAAATCTAACCATTTACTTCAGGACTTAAAAAAACTGAAAAAAATAATGTAAATTGGTCAAATGTAAGCTTAAACATTCAATTAGTTTCAAAATTAAAAAAAAAAAATGAAGAAAATATAAGAATTTCTTACAATTTTTCAAACTTATTTGAAAATTTATATGATCCATTTATTAATAGCAAAATAATCATGATATTCCAGAGATGTCGCTTATTTAAAGGAGTATTTATCTGAAGATGTTTAATGAAAATATTCCAAAGATGTCGCTTATAAAAGTAACATAAGTTATTAAATAACACTCTTACAAAATTAGCAAACAATTTGTGATAAAATCATTTTCATAGATTTTCTTATTGTCTTTTTTTATAAAGAGAAAATAAGCAATTATAAACATTTAGATCAATTATTGCATATTCCAATTCATTCTTTAAACAAAGTTTATAAGTAGGTTACGTTTCAATGCATTATTTGTTATTTGCAGGGTTAATCTTTTGCTGCAGCGATTACACTAACAGTCGTTTCACAATATTGCATCTCGCGTTGCAATGCAAACATTAAGATAGGAGAGAACATCGTTGCTCGAGCATGTTACAAGTGTACTACGTACCATCACCATCTGTTACGGTCCAGATAGCGGGCGTCAGTGTGCGTATGTTAACGGTTAATTGTCGCAGTTGCAATTAGTACGGAATTTCTGGGCGACGTTCGTAAATTTCGATTCAGCATTAACCGCCATCCCCCATCGAACAGGAAGGGAGAAGATTGATCAAATTGATTGTCGTTATGCGGTTACCAAAGGGAAGGGTAGGATTTCGGGTTGGATATCGTCAGATTCATTGCCGACAGATGGACACACAAAACTTAGCCAAACCCCGTCCAACAATTAACATAATGGTAATTGCACCGAGATTGTACTAGTCCGAAATTTACACATCGCAGTTTTAGCAAGGATTTTTATTGCTCCGCTTAAAGCTGCTTAATAGTAGAAGGGAATGAAAGAAAAATAAAAGAAAGACGAATAAAGGAAGCTACGATCTAATTATTTCGGACATCCTTGTTATATAATTTATTTTTTTCTTCTCCGGATTAATTTAACCGGACGAAAAAAAAACACAAACTTGCGAACGCCGAGTAAAACTCTAATTATATTGAATTTCGTGCACAGCTTTTTCTCTCTCTCTTTCAAGGGGGAAATACTTGTTTTTTTTTGTCTTCTCTTTCTTTGGTATGTTGAACTTTGCTGCTGCTGCGTTACGAATTACCCTTTTGCCATCCTACTAGATTGTTATTTTTTTCTCTTTCTCTCTCCTTCTGGATTTAGTGTCTGCCTGGTGAAACATTAAGGCCCTTTGTTGCGCCCCATTTAAACGGGACTTCGGTATCGTTGAGATGTCGGCTTATGGCTGATGTAAAAATAAAGAATAGAAGGATGATGGTGAGGAGTGGATGGGTTCGGCGGTCGTTTGGCCGCCTTTCAAATTGCGCGCACACATGAAAACACTTCCAACATTTTTCAACAATTCGTGCAGATATTTCCATATCGGTTTACAATGTACAATTAGATTTACGCTCTGCTTGTTTATTTTACTAGATTTCATAGGAAAATCTGAAATTGCATTATCAAATTCGCACGTGATATTTTCATAAAGCTGAAAGCATTCAAATATTCCATTACAAATTGCATTATCCAACATACATAAACAACACATTCGCAATCCGAAATAACTACTTTATTAATTATTCACTGTAGATTTATAAGGAAAAACTAATTAAGTCATTATTTTATATGGAAATTTTCCTTTATCAAATTTCTCTGTTTATTTTTAAATTTCTTTGAAGATTTACATTAAACGATTCCAGAGATGTCGCTTATTTAAAATACATGAGTTATCAATTAACATGTAAATTTATTATTAATTTGTTTAAATTTAAAAAAAAAATATTTGAAGATTTTAATGAATTATTTGATAATGACAACATTAATAATATTATTCTAGAGATGTCGCTTATTCAGAAACAGAACTTCTCAGAACTTGCTTAAATTTAACATTTTTGAGAATCTTCATAAACTATTAGACAATATGAGTGTTAACAATTATATAATAGAGATGTCGCTGTACAAATTTATACATTTCCTTATTTTAAGCTAAATTATTAATGACATTATCATAAATTCACGTTCGTATCGTTTAGATAAAAATAAAGAAATGATTAAATTTTTAATCTGTGTGTTAACTTCGAATTTGATGTCTTTCGTATATAGATTGGATCTTGATGGGCGGAAGATTAGTGGGTTAAGCTGATGTTCGGGGGGTTGAAGGCATTACGAAAGTCGTTCGGTTTAGTTTTGCGTGAGTGATAAACGGTGGAAACGAGGAAGACGAGTTAAATCCTACCGAAGGAAAGTGAAGGAAAAGGGAGGACTTGTCGAAAACGGTCACGCACCGTCCGTCCGGTCATCCCACGCAGTTTATATAAGGAAGGAAGAAATAAAAACAAACAGCTCCTCGCATCGTACAACTTTATAGATACGTGAAAGAACGCGACCCGAATATCCGAACAAGATTGATATTCCCTAAAAGAGAAAAAAAGAAACAACAAAGTAAAACGAAGGCATTGGTAATTGAAAGAAAGTGTCCGTGTTTCGTGCGAAGGTGTCACTTACATACGCACTTTAAAAGTAAGTTCTAAATATATTTTTTTTATTTATTTGTTGTCTAAGCAAGTGAGATTTACACTTTTCTTACGGACGTTTTCGTAAACAAATAATCTCATAATTTTTATTAATTATTCTGATCGAATATGTAAAAAAAGCACTCTTTTCGTGTCTATATAAGGATCTTAAGAAATGTATGTTTATAATATATACAAAATGAAATTCATTGTT